TTAGCTGCCTCTCAGAGGCATTTGGCAGGACTAAGAGAACGAGGAGTGTTCGGAGGGCTAACAAGGCTGCTCCGAAGTGCTGTGAGAGCGTTGGGAGCTTTAATTGTTACCGCCGATGTCATTCAAGCCTGATTCCCACTGGAAGTTCCTCTCTGTTAATTATGGTCCTGAGGATGATAACTTGGCAAACGCAGCTGCAGCATTGCTGGTGTATCAGTTAATTAATCATCTGGGCCAGACTGGAGGGAAGATGTTTCTTTACTCCCATTATAAACAGCTGTAGAGAGATGGAAAGGTTTTGAGGACAAGAAGTCCATTTTCAACTTGTACAGTGTGAGGGCTGTGGGATCCTGATACTGCTGTGCAGTTTTCATATGTTCTCTGTTTGTGTTTTTGAAGGCATGGTGGTGCTTTTTCACACAAAAGTCTACAAAAGCAGTCAATTTGTGGCTACTCAGTACAGCTCTTAAAAAAAAAAAACAAACAAACAAAAAACTTCATGGCTGAATTTAATAATAACTTTTTATAGTTTCACAGGTGAAGGAGAGAGATCATATCAAGACTAAATTAAAGATACCCAGAGTGGTTTTCTTAGACAGAGGTAGAGTAAGCATTTCTGAGATGGCTTTGGGAATAGCTTGCTCTGGTGCTGTTGATTTCACTGTAGGGTTTTCAGGGTTTTTTTAGTGCTGCTTGAAGCAATGCAAACACCTGAAGTATACAGCTTGTAGGATTCCGGAGCAAAGCCTCAGCTGTAGGAATGTGGCTTTTTAAGCGACCTCTGCCAGTTCACCCCACAACGATCTGACCTTCTCTTTATCTGTTCCTGTTACTTGTAAGGAATATTTAATGTGATTTATTGTCCGAAGTGCAAGCTGTAGCATCTGAACGTTATTTCAGCTAAACTTTGGAGCTAGAGAGATGAAATGTATTTACGTTGCTGAACTGGGTCACTCTTTTTCATTGTGAAATCTGATTCTGAACCTGCTCAGGAGCAGAGGTAATGCTTTTCTAAAACCATTATTTTGTTGTTAAGGCAGACAAAAGCTTCAAGCTGCTTTCTGTAATGTACCTCACAGATCCTCAGGTTGGCTTTTTCTAAGGCAAAAATAACAGAAATGTCAGCAGAGGTGAGAAGTCATTATTTTAGAGCTAGTCAATTAAACTAACTGCAATGAAAACATGTTCTTTGTATGTGATGACAGAAAACAGTGATAAACGTGATGACGTGTTCATGCTGGTAAAGATATCCTACAATCTGTAATTATGTTCTTCCTAGCTTATTAATTAACTGATTTCCATGGCGTTTTTATGGGGAGGGAAGGGCTGTGTTTATTAGTAGGGCATTGCAGAATTTGGGTTGTGTCCAGTGATTTTCAGGACAGGCTTGTGGCTAAAACAATGATCTACATTGTCTGTCCTTAGGAGCACACCTGAGACTGACTCCTGATATTACCAGGGAAAACTTCCTTGCTGTGCCTTTCGCTTGGCATATTCCCCAAGGTGTACTTTATCATGCTACAGGTGACCTGCCTTTGTGGCAGCAAATTAGAACTAAAAATGATCACAGGGTGCTGAGGTAGCTGCTAGCAGAGCCTGGTATCTGCTGTTACAAACACCAGTACGATTTGTAGGAGGTTTGTATCAACTTCAGGCTTCCAAAAAGATTCCATGGACAGCTGGTGTTGTATTTTGGAAGCCCTTTGAAATCCGGAGCTAACATGGGAATAATCTTTTTTTTGCAGCTGTATTGTTTTAGACGTGCCTTTCCTTGGAAACACTAAGCGTAATTTCAGTGTTTTAAGATGGACATAATCAAGGTCAAGGTATTAAAAATAAATACTGATTTCCAAACCATTGTCTCTCCCTTGATGCTAATCAGATCAGATCTATGAAGGCTGTGGTTTCCTCGGTGCCATCTAGTTTTGTTGTTGTTTGTATCTAATTTAGGTCACACGCAGTGAAATTGTTCTCTGACTGAAGTAAACCTGCCTGCTCTTGGCTGCAGTTTATGGGGTCAGAGGGATTTTGTCTGTGATATGTGAGAGAACTTCCCCAGCAGATGAAGAGGCTGAAGATACAGTGTGCAGTTGCTGCACAGATTTGCTTTCTTTGGGGTGCTCAGGGCACCTCAGGGCCTGTGGCTGGGATCCTCAGTGCTGGTCCTTTGCCAGAGCCTGTTTGGAGCCATTGGTCCAAAGTGTTACTGCTGATTGTGTCTTTATTCCTGCAGTTGTTTTTATTTTCACATTCCTTTCTTCCCTTTGCTTTCCTTTCCTTCTCTCCTCTCTCCTCTCTTATTTTTCCTCTCATTTTTTTTCCTTTTTCCTCTTTTCCTTCTTTCACTTTCTTTTTTTTCTTTCACTTTCTCTTTTTTCTTTCACTTTTTTTTTTTTTTGTTTCTTTCACTTTCTCTGTTTCTTTCTTTCTTTCTTTCCCTGCTTGTAGTAAACATTGACCATATAATCTTTTCCTTTTACTCCTGAGCCTTCTGTCTTAAAGTGTTTGTTTTTCCATTTCACTGTAGGCTATTTTATGGTGTGGTGTGTTCCCCTGCATTAAAAACAAAGTCTAAAAATGTCTGTTGTTGAATGGACAAATATATCTAGTCATGAAATTAAAAAATTAATGTTTTTCTTTTAAAGATTCTGATTTTTAGTATCAGAAATATGCATAGTTTGCCTCATGCATTTAAGAATTCTTTACAAAAAGAAATGCTGAGGAACAATATCACTTTGACAGTGTCATAAGGTTTTATTTTTGACGAGGAATAAGCTTTTTGGGAACATGATGTAAGTCTGTTATAATTATTTTTTTTTCCCTGTTTTTAAAACCGTGGAGATTTTCTTGAATACTAGTTGTGCTGACTTGACCTGTATAAAGGAAGCATTTCATCTGTGGCCCGCTCTTTTTCCTTGAGGAAAGTGACACTAATAAACAAGGTAGCATTTACTGTGTCTGGTCTGAACAGTTGCTAAAGAATAAAAAGTAGCATTTGTCTTGAAACATGTAAGACAGGGTGATAAATTACCGTTTATATGTACTTTTTAATGTTGACTGTAGAGATGACTTTCATGATTTGGCATGGAGGAGATGCTTATCTTTTGGGCAACTACAGATAGATTAGGTGAATCCTGCTCTAAAATGCTTTGTATTACTGGCATTAGATTAGCAGTGGGAAGCCCAGCAAGGCTGGGGTAGGCAACGGGCATTGAGCCAAGCCGCGTTTACACTTCATGAAAGACCAGTGCCTGAGGACTTTCTAATCTAAATGGACAGCAGAAACAGAAACAGTTTATAACCTGAATTTATTTATTTATTAATAAAGAAAGCTATTTCCAGTTATTTAAAATGATTTTGACTCTGATAAGTTTCTGTAAAGGAGCTAAACTGGCATGTAAATTGCAGAGTCCATCAAAGAAGCACAAATAAACACAGTTCATCAAACGGATTAACCATGACATGTATATATAGGTGCATGTAAGATGTTGATAAATGAGTGACAGAGCCTGAATCAAGTTAATAAAATTCACTTTGCATGGCAGAGTCACGGATCCTTTCCTCTAGATGAGGGGAGACGTGTCAGGGAGTGCTTTTAACCAGAGGTACGTGCCGGCATTTCCCTGTTTTGTGAGGATGGTGAAACAGAGGCCGATAAACATCCGACACCTCTTCAACTTCGCTCTGGTACACAGAGAATCCGTGTTAAGATCTCTCTGCAGGGCCCAGCACGGGCTGTTTGGGGCGGATGGGAGAAACCCCGGGCTGAGGGCCCGGAGGAGGCCGCGGGCACCGGCGGCGCCTGGAGGGGCTGAGGCGGCGCGGCGGGGCCCCCTGGCGGCGGGAGGCGGGAGGCTGTGGGGCCGCCGCTGTGGGGCCGGGTCGGGGTGCCCTGTACCACGCTTCTCCTTCTGCCCCTGTACGCGGTTCCGTAATCATCCTGCCATTTTCCCCCCATCTCCGGCTGCACTCAGCGTCCCCACTGTGGCAGTGGGTTAAATGCTGTCACCGAACCATAGTGTCCTCGCCTAAAAGTCATCCTGAAAAAAAGGGGTTGGAACACAGCGTGGTTTTGATGAACTTTCATCAAAAAGACTATGCATTTAGATCAGAAAGACAGATTTACCATCATTGGGATCACCTTTTTGTTTCTTTACAACAGCTATGATATTTGTTCATGCATCTTCTCACAATATCCCTCTGATTTAGCAGAATCACAGAATTGTCTAGGTTGGAAGAGACCTCAAGATCATCGAGTCCAACCTCTGACCTAACACTAACAAGTCCTCCACTAAGCCATATCACTAAGTTCAACATCTAAACGTCTTTTAAAATTGGACTTAGCTAAATAGTTGTAGTCCTATAGCTGTATTTCCACTGAATTTAATCACCTTGCTTTCATACTGTTGTTGTGTGCAGTCAGCTTACCCCTTGGGGCCAACAAACACCTTTGCTGGTGGTTTGTCTGTAGATACTGATGTGATTGCCATTAGCAATCCCAGAACTCCTGAGAGACAAAGCTTTGCTTTTCTAGCTATAAAGTGGGTTTCAATGAGAGAAAGGTGAAATGACTTTTAGCCACTGTTACACATTCTCGTGTCCAAAGGAACTTGCTTCCTGAAATTTGGCTTCTGACGCCTTTTGTAGTTGCATCAGTAGCACTTTAAACAGTAGGCCTAGCCCTGGAGCAGGTAAGCTTTGGTCTTTTTTGGGCTTCAGATATCACAGAGTTGTAATTGAACTGTGTGGCCTCCCTGGAGCACCTTCATCCTTCCAGGCGATGGCTCTGGAATTACAGGTTTCACCCACAGAAGAGTCAGTTCTTCAGGAACAGGCTGATTTAATTTCACAGCGTAGTAGGTATGTGAAACTTAAGGCTCTGTAGGTCTTTGCATAGGGCCTTTCAAGTTCAGTTTGGTCACACAGTGAGGAGTCCCCATCCCAGATATTTTTGCCAGAGGCACGCTCTTCACTTAATCTCCCAGCTCCTTTAATCACTTTTCATTTCCCTTGGCAGAAGGGTCAGCGTCCAGTCATTTTCTACAGTATCTTCTGTTTCTTCCCGGTGAGCACTGAAGTGTCAGGAGCGACCAGTCTGCCTGTCCAGGCTAGGCTGGTGTCCTTAACCTTTTCCTCAGTGGTGAAATTGCACATGCTTCCAGGGGAGAGAGCAAGGAAATTGCAGTGAACCTGAAATGAAACACCAACATACTTTTCTGTCTGCACCAACCACCCTCAAGGCAGCCATACAGATGTGTGCGTGAGGGACCTCTGCTTTCTCTGTCTCATCTGTGCTTTTTATTAAAGGTATCCATCATACTGAACTGCAGTGCTTCCATGTTTCCCCATCATTGGGGAGGATGTAGATCTTGGTAAGTGGAGTACATATATTACACTAGTAGGAGGTGAAAATCTGTGTATTTTTTAGTATGGTGAATTATGTTAGCTTTGGCACATTCTGTTATACTATAAACTTACTGAGTCTTGAGTAAAGGAAATGAAAGTCAAACAGCTGCCTTTCTTCTGCCCTTGTGAAGCCTGGCTGCTTATTAGCAGGGCAGCTTTGCAGCCTTTTTCCACCCTGAGTCACCATGTGCTATAGTTGGTCAGCGTGGCCTGTGGTTTGTCAGCCACTCATACCCTGTGTGTGGGGTCCCAGAGCAGCAGCTAGGCTGTGGAGGTGGCTTATCAGTTCTCCTCCACTCACTGAATATCCCCCTCCTTTACCCCTTGAATTGGGCTTTCATGCACAGAAATGGCTTGAGATGCCAGATAATGTCATGCTGAAACAAAAGGTGGGGCAGGAATCAAGGTACCTGCATCTCTGTTGCTGTAGTGGGGTTATTTTTTCCTTGTTATTTCCTTTTTCCTGTTACTATTCTTAGGAGTAATAAAAGCTGCTGGTCGCCAAGCAGAAGAGAAAAATTCACAGAATTTTAATGATGTACAACAATTACCGATTCTGTCTGGCTCTATGTGCATCCTTCCTCTACTGCCTGTGGCGGAGAATAGTGTGAGAGGGACTGTTAAAATCACTTATGGTGCTTTTTCTGTGGCTTAGTGTAAGCTGGTGGCCTGCTAGCATCCTTTCTGCTTCTGCACCCTCAGCTCTGCATTATGGGAGAGAAGTAAGCAGTATCCTGTTGGATCCCTCATTAAGTCCAAACCCTCTCGACAGTCTCTCTTCCCCCTGTCTTGCAGCCACTGAACAGGAACTTGTTCTTCCATTCCTCTCAGCAGTGCAGTCTGGAGATCTCCAACCATTTTGTTCTGTTATCCTGCCAGTGCGCAACCGCAGTGGCAGTAAGGGAGCAGGTCCCTCGCTGTTTTGGGTAGGGGAACTTAAACTGCAAGACGGTTTCACAGCAATCTGTTACATAATACTGCGCAAAGCGAACAGTAATTAACGTGGAGGTGGAAAAGATACCCTTACTACTCAGTGCAAAGCCGGCTTGTCTTTCCGACAGAGATAGTTACCTCCTACCTCTTCATTTCCATGAGAGGCTCTCTCAGAATCCTAAAGATGAGAGAAAATAATTGGAAAATTGTCTTTAATCTTTCACAGAATCTGGCAATACAATCAAAAGGTTGAGGCAATGTTATTCTGCCTTCTCAACTGCTTAATATTTGGAAACGGTGAGCAAAGAAACAAGCAAGTGGAAAACAACCCCATGTCCGCTCCCCCAGGCTGCAGAATTCTACATTTTTCATCAGACCAGCCAGACTCTCATTTTGTGCCGCACTGGTGAAAAAACGAAGTAACCTTGTGAAAGAAATGTATTTTCCCTGCACATCTGAAATCACAGTGTTGTGCTGTGTGGAACTTAGGTGACTTAGGAATCCTTTGGACTGCCTAGCTCCAGTTACTGGAGAGTTACTGCTATTATTGCAGAATATAATGAGATGAAACTCCCCTGAAGATATTCCCTGCCCAGGAATTGATGGGACTGCTCATTTTGCTTTGTTACACCCTTTTTTAAATGGCTCTTCATAAAGATTTGTTTTGCAGCAGTTTCAAGTTACATGAGGGTATGATAACAAGAACAGTCTGGCTAAACCTCCTAGCTGATGCTCATCTGACTTAGACAATGTATAATCATAGATAAAAATACCCTGAGCTTGGTTACATCCTAAAAATACTCTTCAAAATTCTTAGCAGCTGTTACTAGAAATAGTTTACTATTGGCTAGGAGGTACAGCAGAAGCTGAAAAAAAAAACAAAGACTAGATGTATATTTTTTTCTCTCAAATATTTATCTTGACTTAAATACTCCACGTTCAGATTAAAATATTTCAAGCACTTGCTCATCTTAGGCTGCTTATAAGGACTGAAGGGGACAATTGGATTATTTTCTTAGGTTCCTTTCTTCTTACCCTTTCTGTTTTATTATCAGTAGCTGAAATTATAAATGGTATAGGAGAAGTAGATAAGGACCATATATTTTCATATTACAAAAATATCGGGGTACTTGGTGAAATACAAATGATCGGAAACCTATGGGAGAAAAATGACTGTTTGGCGAGACTTCGAAACTTATGGCAACAGGCTTTTGTTGGAATCAATAAATTAATGAAATGAGAAAGAAATCGAGCCACTGAAACTATCCAGATGCCTGGTTGTACTGAAATGAGGAAATTATTGGTTCTGAAGTCCTGGGATTAAGGTGAAGGAGTTAGACTTACCCACCATCCTAAGAGCATTGTAGGACTGAAGAAAGTAAGGAAAAGACCCACAGCCGTATTTGGTTATGCGTTTATTTCTTTTTCAGTCAAGAACATGTGCTAGCAATCGATATTTAGTTGCCCAGGTGGTGACCAGCCTAGGCATGGCACCTGTGCTTCTGGGACTGTCCAAGCCTAAGCTGCTTTTCTGAAATAAATCCCCTGAGATGCCATTGTGCAGGCCAGTACTTTTCTGCAGAGTGCCAGCCCAGCTTGTTCCCTTCAATAGTCTTTGTATTAGCTTTCTTCAGGGGGACCCTAAAAACTGCCTGCATCACAAGAAACGCAGTCACAGGAGTGTTTATTTGCAGAAACACTTTCTGTGTCCTTTCAAAAATCTGAAGAATTGTCACTAGAGTATTACTGTCAGTGCGGTATTTTTTTGCTTGAAAAATTCTGAACATCCTTTGATTTTCTTTAAGTTTGAGGTTTTGCTTTTCACTGTAAGAACTAACTTTAAAATCCACAAAAGCTATAGATCATATATTTAAATCTTATTTACTGCTTTTGAAATAATTTGTTATTGTTTCCCCCAAGACCAAATGACTGTATATGTTTTGGAAGTGTCACTCTTACACAAATGTTGCCTTATGACACCTTTTAAAATGTGGTATGTACTTTACATGCGTGTGTGTTCTGAATGTGAACCAGTTCACTGGTAAACTTCCTATAATCCTCTCCATTGTCAACCCCCTACAATCACTGAAGTAGACTGTGTGTTTTGTGGAAGTCTTGGCAGAAAGTGCCTTTTGTATGCAGTGAAAGCAGACGATGGCAGGCGTGCTAATCACCTTACCTTCGGGGTCTTCTGAAGCCATAGCAGCATTAATCGTGTTACCAGCTGCACACAGTACTCTGACCTTCTGCCTGTGGAAAAGATGCTTCTGTTTGCAGAGCACAGACGTGGTGTGGACACGAGTGTGACATACTTTGCATCATGATCTAAGTGCCTGAATCTTGTTGCTGGATGCTGCTCAATGGCTGCTGTACAGCACCCTATGGGCAGGTGCATCTGCCCACTGGTTCCTTTTTGTGCAGGAGCTGTAAGAATGATGGCACTGCATGGAAACGGGATGCACAGGAGCTTAGAGCTTATCAGCTGAGGGTTTGGATGCTGCTTGGCACCTGCTGACACTCTGAAGTGCATCTTTTTAGTTGGTAAATTCCTTGTCCCCTCTGATGTCTCTGTTTTTCAGTGCAGAAGGGAAGGTGGACTCTGAGCCGTGTGAGACCTTCAACTTGGATGTCCTAGGTTGGCAAGCCGTCTTTGGATAGTTGCTAGTACACTGAAACAGATGTGGGAAGACTGGAAGAATAGGTATTTTCCTGCATTAGTGCTGCTTCTGATTCCAGAACTAATCTGGAAAGCACAGAAGACAAGACCCTTTTTTTTTTTTTTAATTAAAAAAAATAACTGAAAACTAATGGAACCATTCATGTTTTTCATCCTTTCTCTAAAACGTTCCTTATCCTTAGATTTTTTTCTCTAAATTATTCTGTGTCTTTTTATAGAAGAAAAATACACTTCAGAAAATAAATTCTATTGGCCTTTGTGTTGTGTGCTGCCTGAACAGCAGGTACTTCAATGAAAATCAGCATCTCAATGCCTTCAATCAGTTCAGTAGCATTTAACAGTTTCCATGTAGGGACTGTAAACTTCCGCAGGCCATCAAGTGCAAACCAACTGTGAGCTTAGAAAAATAAAATACAGAGTGTATTTCAGTGGGATATATATTCTTCTAGAGGATAAATATTGATGGAATTTTGCTGTGTGAATCTTAGGTGTTGGTTTCTTTTTTTTTCCTTTAGTTGTCCATCTGTGCACATGAAGTAGCGTGCATCCTATGTCAAAGAATTGATGTTGCTACAGGTGAAATGAACAGTCCTGGAAATGTAGACTTACCTTTGAGTTTAGAAGTAGTTTTTATGAATCTTAGGGGCCTAGTATTACAGACTAGTCAGACACTGCTAGCAAAATATTTGCAAGATTTGGGTCATTGTTCAAATAATTAGGTAAGTTTGTAATGCTCTCTGGGATTAATTTGACTGAAAAAAGTATAAACATTGCATCTTCTGTTTGTGTCTATTTTCATTGCACTTTATTTCCAACTTCGCAGCAGAGCAGAAGCTTCATGAGAGCTGGTACTGTGGAGGACACCTAACTACAAGTAGCTGCAGTATCAAACTGGATGTCCAGAACAGTTGTTACATAATCTACATGTATATTACATTAGATAATCAGTAATGTCTTATCTGTTCCTATTTTTAAGGTATTGAGATTCTTTTTTTTTTTTCATACTATTGTGTTTTATTTTTGTATTCAGATGAGAATGAGATTTCTTTCTTTATTTTCGCAGCTGCATGTAAATGAATAGCATTTCCTTTACCAATTATAAAAGGGATTTGGTGAAAGGCAGATTGTACAGTAGCCGCCTGCTTAGCTGACAGGTGAAACATTTATTATGGGGCTGTATTGTGTTTGTTTGTTTATTATTAAAAATCCCTGGTATCACATGTCCGCTTCTATATTTTTGGCTTCTGAGTAATCAAAGTCATAAATGAAACAGGTGTAAACTTTCCTGGTCTCTTTACAGTGTAGACGCTATACCTGTAGGAAACTTATGATAAAATAAATAAATAAATCTCTTTTAATATTCTCCCAGTATTTTTTTTTACTGTAACTGCAATATTTTTTTCCATTTTGTAAAGTCAAAAGCATGAGAGCTGTTAAAATTGTGGAGTTAGTAATTGTCTTTTTGTTTTGATAGCTGTACAGTGTTACTGCAGAGTAAAAATCAAGCAGAACAGTCAGTAATGTTAATATACAGTTAAATTTTAAAACGTCATGGGAGAAGCCAAGGGAAGACCTTACAATTCATATCAGAGAAGCAGGCAAATAGGTGAGGTCTGTTAAGGAACTGAAAAACCAGGAAGACTTAGGAATATTCCCTGGCCCCTTGGCTGTCTGGTTAAATTAGGTGAATATTGCTTATGTGGCTTTGTGTCTGTAATGCCTAATGCTATTTTATCTTGTCTAGAAAAATCACCTGATGGGTGAAGATGTATAGGTTTAATGCCAGATTTATGAGACTTCTCTCTCTGACGTTACAATTCCCTTGCTGTAGCCCCACGTTCCCAGAATGCCTGTAACAGGGAGGGGGATTAGGCAGCTGTCAGCATCGCTTCCCGTCATTTCAGAAGAACTGACTTGCCATTGTGGATGACTCTGACTTCTCCCTCTCATTTTAAAAATTTAAATAATTGGTGGCTTTTAATTAAAAGACTTGCTTTAATCCATTGCTAGTGAAGCAGAGAGCTGCTCTCGAGTGTCTAGCGCTAATGCACGTATAATAATGTAGCACGGGGTCTAGAGAATATTTATGAGCGGCTGTGCATTTTCTCTGAAGCTTCTACGGTATTTTGCAGGATTTAGACTTTAATATTGAAAGCTGCTGTGAACAAATTTGGGTACCCCGGTTGTTGGATACTGCAGTGACAATGCTGTATGAAGTTGTTAAGGGAGTAGGGAAGGAAGCATTTTACAATGAAAAGGCTGTACTGCTAAAGAGTTTAAGTCACTACATGCAAATAAATTTCTGTCCATTTTTTGACTTGAATTTTGACGTAACTGAAATGGAGTGGTGGAGATGGATCTTCTCTATCCCCTAAAAATAAATAAATAACCTTAGAAAAACACTTGCCCAAGGTTTTTTTTTGAATACTTACTAATTTTGGGTACCGTAGTTTTTGGGTGCCTATTTCAGCTAGTTAAAATTTGATTTTTGAGAAGTGGCATGCAGATAGCTTTGATCAGGCAAAGCAAGAGATTCTGTGTGCAGAATTTTCCTGCAAATTTTGTTTTCCAGTTCTGTTGACATCCTTGTCTTGACCGTTCACCGTATTACATTGCCTGTTTTAAACAGTATCAGGGATGGCCCCAGCACTATGAATATGGTGTGAATATTTGGCATGGTCTCCGGGAAGGGTTCTCATCCAGCCCTATATAAACAGAAAGAAGATCAGTTAAACTAAATTGCTATAAAAATCATGGTCTATGTTTCTGGAACTGTCAACCTTTTTTCTTTTTCTTTTTGTTTCTGAATAAACACTATTTGGCTGAAACTGTCTCTCAGAAACATCCTAAGATGAATCTGTACCTGTGGGCAGGGTTGCTTGCCAGCTTTGCCTGAAGACTTGCTGAATAAGGTAGAAGGAAGAACATCACATATGTTTTCCTTATGCAGATACACCTGACACAGTTTCTGTTTTTGCCCATGAAGGTGTAAGTACAAATGTCAGCAACGCTTGGAATAGTTTTTAGAACTTGAGACTTATTAGCAAGTTACTGATGCAACGGAGTAGAGAAAATAAAATCTACCATTCCTCCTGAGGCCTCATCATGACAAATAATTTCCCCAGGCTTGCTTCTTTCCTTCCTTGTTTAATCTTTTCAAGAGCAGAAAGTTACTACAGAGCACTAGAGTACCAAAGGCAGTCAGCCTGTCTGGGAGCAGTACTTTTAACAAGTGTTTGTCTGCCCATTGACAAGGCTGGAAATACAATAGAATAATAAACAGACGTGTGATGGGGAAGGAAGACATAAAATTCACTCCACTCCACAGGACACATTACTTGGGCTTTTTGTTTCTAACTTTCACCAAGAAACTGCTGTAAGTAAGGAATGTGGCAGATGTTTGGCCTAGTAATGATATCAATGTTGGGTATTTTGGGGGTAAATTATACTTCAAAAATCTTAAAGATGTTTGTCTTCTGTTCTTTCTGGATCTCTGCTATCATGCCTCTCATCACCACACAGCTTCTTAGGCAATGTTTGTAATTTAAAGTAGTGTCAGGCTTGACTCATCCTCGAGTGAGCTTGGGCAAAGGAGACAGGGGATGGCTGCCTGCACTTGTGCGGGGCTGTGGTCATCTGCCTGTGTCGGGGCCGAGTTGGCATTGCGGCACAGCGCTGGGCTCCCTGTGAAGGTGCTGCTGGATACCTTGTGAAATGTGACTGCACTGAGGCTCCTGAAACCATATCAGCAAGAAACAAAAATGAATTCCAGATCCAATTCACCTGAGGTAGTTATAGTTTGTTTCCCTAATCCGTGTGTAACTGCTTGATGTATTTTTAGATGCATCACTCAGTAGCTCTCCTTAAAGATATGATAGGTTCCAGTTACTTGATTATAGTACTTTTTGCTTCTTGTCTCAGTGTGGCATAAAATTGTTGCAGTCCACATAAGAGAGAGCTTCTAGTCTTAAGCATTATAGTTTGATTATACAGCTAATACCTACTCCAGTTAGTCTCCTGATGTTTTGGTAAAGTCATCCCCTGCAAGGCTCTCTTCCTTGAGTATATCTTCTTTAAGCTGTGTATTTGAATGCATGCAGACAGAATACTCAGCTAAGTAACAGGTCACCTTTGCTCTTACCTCTTTCCATCTCTGTTTTTCCTCCCTGGTCTATCTTCAAGTGTGTTTTGTCTTAAAGGGAGTAGGGCAACCTGTGGGTGTCTGAGAATTCAGATTTGACCGTTTTTCATTCTATGCGAAATAAAGGCAGTGAAACAAAGACCATCGAGCAGTTCAGTAGCAAAGAGAAAAACTTGTTCATGGCTGAAAGTAATCCTTCCAGTTTCAATACCAGGAAATTCTCAGGCTTAAGACAATCTGCAGTGCTCTGGGTGTATAGATTTACCCTGAAACAGTACTCTCCTGCTGCTGTGCTTGGCATCAGTTTGCAAATGTTATTCTCTGAATGTGAAACTCCTACCTGCTTACTGCAGTGGGACTTCTGCTTGTCAGCGCTTTTATCAGCCTGCTTCATAGTCCAGTAAGGGCTGTAAAGTTCCCTGGAGTCTCTGGGACAAGTGGTGCTACCAATGTAATGTAGAGCACAGTGGGGATGGCTGGCACACGTTCTGTAATGCGGCACAAAGTTTGGTCTGTTCCTACTCCCTCTTCTGGGTGAGGGTTACATAAGAGCTTGCAGGAAACCTACAATTTAAAGAAGCCAAAGCACTCTTCAGGATTTACAGGTTTTTGCCAGTCTCACTGTTAAACCTACGACAAGTATAAACAACCTTTGTTTTCTCTTGTACATTCACTTTAACCCGTGAGAGAGAAGTGATGCGTCCAAGATTCCTCAGAAAGTCTGTGGTGAAGGTAAGGCTTAACCTCAGACATCCTGGGTGCCACTGCAGGCTGTTAGTTACCCTTCTTCATGCTCCTTCGTGCTCCACTCTTTCCCCTCAGAGCTATGTACTGATAGTACAGACACTTCCACAATGAGGTGTAGTGAAATAATGCTAGAGAGAGAATCACCATCACCCTGTCATGCCTAAATAAGCGTGCACTCAGGCATGCAGGCACACTTGCAATCCCATAGCCATTTAAATAGGTGACAGCATAAGGACAAATTCTCCTGCATTTATACCGTTTCAAGTTCCCTTGACGGTACAACTCGGTCTCTGGAGCTGCAAAGGTTTGCACTCATCTGAATTTCAAAGTAGCTGCTGAAGCCTTCAGTTACGTGTGACCGCTGTGCTGGTTTTCTCTAGGAAGTCGGTATCACGCCGGTCTGATCAGTGGAATGCTGCTCGACTTCTCCAGAGCTCGCTGCTTTGCAGATATGTAGGGCATAAACACAGCTTAACTCTCACCCTGTGCCAGCTTGGCACGAACAAGAAAGCTGCTCTCCCAGTTAGCTACAGGCAAAAAGCTTGTCTGGCTAATGCTGGTCTTTTAGGAACGCTGTACGAGAGTGGAAGGTGACTTAAAAGTTGTAATCCTTGGGAAGATGTGGTGTTGGACAAAGCAGGGAGTGCTGCCTGCAGCTTTTTGTGGAAAATATCGGGAAGATGCTTTGGCAAGCAGAGGGAGTTGCTCCTCGGCTTGTGTTGCCTCCCTTGTGCCTGCTTGACTTTGTTCCTCTCCGCAAGTGTAACTTCCTTGCATTGTCAACTGCTGCAAGGGTGTTGTTTGAAGGAAATGGGTCATAAAAACTTCGTTAAAGTCTTAGTGGGAAGTGGTAAGAGCAATAAATCTATCAGAACAGGTTATTCCTGTCCCCAAGTGAGGCAGCAGCCAACCCTGGTTGTAAGGAAAGTCTCGGTGTTCAGTGACTGCTGCCTGATCCTTCGGCCTACATCCAGCTCAGAAGACTTCTGTAAAATTCAGGCAGTTTTGGTTCCTTTGCTGTTCCTTCTGTAGTCTCTGCGTAAAGTCTGCGCTTGAGGAGAAGCTGAAGGCTGTCGAGTACAGCTCAAGTGACAGCTGGCATCATCATGTGGCGTTCAGCTGCCATCGTCTTTGGAGCGGAGCCTGACAGGGGCATCGTGTGCTGTTCCTGCGGTCTGTGATGGGACGGCAGGGACCTGTCACTGCTGCCACCCCCTGCTGGTTGTCCCTCACTGACCTTCAGCTGGAACCCAACTTCTTGCTGAGGGGACTGATGGTGGGGGAAAGGCTGCACCCAGCTGTTACTGGGGTTGCTCTTCCAGAGTACACGAGGCTTTTTCTGCCAGGTATTCAAGGAAAATGCTAAAAAATCCCCCTGCTTTGGTTACTTGGGTATCAGAAACAAAGAAGTAATGGCCTTGTGGAAGAGCACCTTGAGTTACAGGTGTCTGACACTGCCATCACCAGGAAGATAAGGCAGGGGTGTTTGTTTCTGTTTGCTCTCCAGCCTTCTGTGGCAGCTGACACAGTCCGATGGAGGGACATAGGAACGATTCCTCCAGATTAAACAAGGATGTGAATTCAGACTGGAAGGTGCTCTGATTGATCTTAATTTATTCTTGTAATGAGCTAACTGAAATTAAGGTCACTCTTAGTTATGAACAAGAGTGTCCACAAAAAGCTTTAAAGTACTTTATGTAATTCATTTCAGAAGTTAATTTGAATTAATTTTCTGAAATGTCTGCAGGCAGAAAACCCATTATAGTCCGTCTTTGAAGAC